GGCATAAACTACTGCGAGAACCTCACGTTCATCAGCAGTGTAGTTTATCTCGGCGGGCAGGAGCTGACGGGAGTAGAAGGCTATCGGACAATCACCTGAGCGAGACTCGACGGTGCCGTCCTCGGCGAAGGTAGGAGAATAGTCAATAGAAGGCTCGTCAGTAGCTGGACGAGTAGGCGTCAGTCGGGAAGCAGTGGTAGGGGTAGGTGGTGGGAAGCGAGGGAACGAGGATAAGAGGAATCAGGAGAGGAGGGGAAGACCTGAGAAAGCACTGCTCCTACAGCGAAGTCTGACGCATCGGTGGTAAGGATAAAAGGGCGGTCAAAATCGGGTAGGTGAAGAACCGGTGCGCATGTCACCGCCTTCTTGAGGGCGTGGAAGGCGTCCTCGTGGAGGGGTGTCCAAGCCCAGGGTGGGTTTTTCCGGAGGAGGGTGGAGGTAAGGACGAAGGAATACCTAGTGTATCCCCTTATGAAGTTACTGTAGTAGCTGGTCAGGCCTAGGAAGCTGCGAAGCTGCTTGGCGGATGTGGGAGCGGGCCACTCCGCAATAGCAGTGATCTTCGCGTCGTCCATGTGGAGACCCTGGTCAGACACGTAGTGTCCTAAGAAATCCACTTTGTGCTGGGCAAAGCAGCACTTGCTCAGCTTGGCGTAGAAGCCATGTCTGCGCAAGCGGTCAAGGACGTCGCGGAGATGTCTGAGGTGCTCCTCAAGGGTACGACTGTACACCAGGATATCGTCGAGGTAGACGAGAACGTATTGCTCCAGGATGTCCCTGAAGATGTCCTTCATCACCCTCAGAAAGGTAGCGGGAGCATTAGTGAGGCCGAATGGCATCACCGTGAACTCGTAGTGGCCGAATCGCGATCGGAATGCGGTCTTCGGCTGGTCGGCTGCAGCGACGCGGATCTGATGGTAACTGCTACGAAGATCAATCTTCGTAAAGAAGCGGTTGCCTGCTAGGCGGTCGAACAGCTCATCGGAACGAGGCATGGGGTAGCTGTTCTTAATCGTGTAGCGGTTGCGACCGCGATAGTCGATGCAGAGACGGAGAGTTCCGTCTGCTTTGCGAGCAAAGAGGACGGATGCACCCCACGGGGAGTTGTTGGGTTTAATGAAACCTTGTCTCATGAGCTCCTCAAGCTGACGCTTGAGTTCGGTGGCCTCGGGGATCGAGAGTCTGTAGGGTGCCTGGTGGTGAACACGATAGTCAGGCACAAGCTGAATGGAGTGCTCGACGTCACGCATCGGTGGGATGCCGGCATACGCGAACGATGATGGGAAAACGGAGTGGTACTCTCGGATGAGGTCACGAACTGTGGGCTCCAAGTCAGCCGTATATCGTGCGAGTTCCTCAGCGTCAGCGTCAGCGCGCGACGACGGGGTGGACTCGACGGACGGCGGAGGGACGGAAGTAGAGATGGGAGCGACGGAGATAGAGGGAGGATCTGGCTCCAGAGGGATAATCTCGGCGTCGGGACAGGGTGGATCGTAGTGTAAGAGATCCGTCACGTCCACCATAAAGAAGGTGACGTCGTCCTGTCGAATGAAGTGAGCGAACTGCTGAGGCGAGGTGACAGTGATAGAGGGAGATGGTGTGGGCACTAAAGGCTCCGGGGGAGGAGGATCGGGGCGTGGTGTCGCCGTGGTACCTATGAAAGGTACGCGATACGTTTGTCCACACTTCGTTTTGAGAATGAGAGTATTGGTCGCCCAATCGGCCTCGGTGCTGCGGAACCGACGAGACCACGGAGTGCCGAGAATGAAGTCGTACCCCGTCTCCATCACATCGAAATGTGCAGAGGAGTGGTGGCGACGAGACGCCGGGGAACGATCAGTCGGCTCGAGAGTGAGAAAGAAGGGGAGGTCGGTGACCGTCTGATCGAAGAAGCGCTGGGTCTTGTCATCCCCTAGGGTAACGGAGATGGGAGTCGGAGACCTTGTCGTGGGTAAGCGGGCTTCCTTCACCACGCATGGGTGAATGAAGTCACCCTGAAAACCGGAATCCCACAGCGCTGAGTACACCCTCTTGGAGGTCCCGAGTCGTACTGGGATGATCGGGAGGGTGCGATCAGGGTCAGAGAGGATGGCGAGAAGGCGACGCAGTGCAGCGACCTAGAAGGTGAGTCGCTCCTGACGAGCCTGAAGCATGCTCAAGTCCAGAAGAGAGGACACAACGTCCTCGCGAGTAGCAAGCTGCTCGCTGCAACGGGCTGAGCGAATGGCTCGACGCGTCGGTAGTCGCGGCGGGGAAGGAGGGGACACGGTGGTCTGCAGAGGCGTAAACGGTACTGCGGCAGAGGGCTGAGTACACTCTATCGAGTCCTGCGATACCTCAACTCCAGTAGCGAGAGGGGCGAACCGCGACGGAGATGTCGGGAAGTCCACTACTGAGGAGGGCGCAGGTATACACTGCACCGTGGCTAGGAGGTGCCGGGGGGGGATTGAGCACGACGCTGACGAGAAAGATCAGCGTAGTGGCGGTTGAGGGCGGTAGTGTAAGGGCACCGCGAGGAGGTATGACCGTCCAAGCGGCAGCGCAAACACCCACGCCGGCCCAGAATAGCCGCGCGCTCCTCAGTGGAAAGGACACCACGAGGAGGGAAGAAAGCCCTGAGGGAGGTCCTCCTGAGGGACCTCGGGGGGCGACGCGCCAGCGTGACCGGGGCGGCTGCGTGCCCGAGAGAGGGCGGAGAGTGCGAGCTGAAGGCGCTCAGCTGCAGGGAGGGTAGAGTCCTCCAAGTGATAGTGGACGGCCTCGCAGAGATCGAGGTCGTCGCTGTGGTCGCCCTCAGGTGACAGTTGGGCAACAACGTCCTGCTCACCATACTCCAGCGCGCTGAAGAGGCGCGAGAAGTGGCGGCCCTGCTGCGTGGAACGGCGGGGGCGACCGCGGAAAGGGGAACGGCGCTGGGAAGTGCCGTGAGAGGAGGAGGAGGCGTAGCCCGTGCGCTGGGGCTGGGAGGAGGAGGCGGGGTGAAGACGGGCTCGCATCCACTGGTGGTCCCTGGCGGCCTTGTAAGCCTGTGGGACTGATGTGAACTCGTACCGCCAGGTGACCCACCCACGTCTCGGGTGTGGCGCCCATGAGCTGGAGTGTGTGGGTGGCAGACTGCAGCCACCGAGATACGCGTATGCCTGTACCGTCATACAAGGCAATGTCAGACAAGCGGATGAGTGGTGCGCCACCGTTTTTGCAGCGAGGGGATTGAGGAGTGGAGGCCTGTGCCACGGTTAAGTAAGTCGACGCAGGTCCTGGAGAAAGGGGTGCAGCTGACTGTGCGCCCGGGCTGCATGGGGGAGCGGCGGTGGCAACAGCGGCAGGCTGCGAGGGTGCTAAGGTAAAAGAGGTCGCAGCAACCGCGGGAGTAGGAAGAAGGTAGGAAGGAGTTGTATAGGGTGCAGGGCGCGGAAAGCGAGCCTGCATGGGAGGAAGGGTAGAGGAGGTAGGGGGTGCGCCCGAAGGCGCGGCCACCTGTGAGGGTGGGGGTGGCTGGAGGCGTAAGAGGGCGAGGTCGGCCCGGAGCTGGACAATCTCATCCGCGAGACCTCGAACGTAGGTCGATCGAGGGGTGGGAGGAGGAAGAGTGGAAGGGGTGGACGCACAAGCGGCGCGGGGCATCCCAGAGGGGGGAGAGCCAGGTGGCGCTGCGGTCGTGTGAAGGGGAGGGAGAAGCGGGGCACCCGGAAAAGCTGAGACCATGGTAGCGGGTTGTTGTACCGTGGTCGTAGTGACCAGGATCTGGGCGGGTGCGCCCGTAGACTGAGGGGGGGCCTGGCTCGTGGCGGCCATCGTGCTAGGGGCGTGGACAGTCACCAAGATGGCCGGGTTAGGGGCAACGGAGGAGGAAGCTCCGCCGTGGCCACCCTGTCGGAGGACGGGGGACCCGGACTGGGAGCCAGGAGATGACGGACACGCAGCGTCCTGGAGTTGCTGCATGCCGGCGGCAAGGGTCGCCACCTGCGCCTGTAAGGGCGTGAGGGTCGCGAGTTGCGCCTGGATGGGTGCAAGGGTTGCGAGTTGCGCCTGGATGGGCGCAAGGAGGGAGGTGAGGAGGGTGTGTAGATCCCCCTGGGGCTGATGGCCCTGGTCCGCCGGCACGGGTGTGGAGCCCGATGCCGTGGTCATCGCTGTGTCGGCGGAGTGTGACGCACCGTCGGCCATGGGGAGATGACGGACCGGACTAGAGGGGGCCAGAAGAGGTCCGCGTGAGCAGAGGGCGTAGGGGGAAGTCCGCGGTAGAAAGCGGCGAACGACGCTAACAAGGCTAGCACGGGCGCCGTCAAAGGGGGAGGGGTGGTTCGGGTCCAGGGTGCCCGAAGAGGACGGGGAAGTAGGGGGGTTTTGAGGAACCCTAAACCCTACAAAACCCTAAGAAAACCCTAACCGAGGTTTAAGTGGCTAGGGTAGGGTACCGGTGACCTAATCAAGAAAGTAAAATAGCAAGCATTGGGGGGGGGAGACGGGAGAAAAATAACTAAACAGCGAGATTTTGAGAGAAAATAAAAATAAATCAGAAAAAAAATAAATAATAAAAATAAGTAAAGAAATAAGTAAAGAGATGTGAAGGGAAACAATATTTATTTTTTTGAAATTTTCGGCAGCATTTCCCTACCCCCCACGGGGTCAAGAATGTGCCAAGG